CCCCCAGCGCTAACAGCTCTCCTCTCCGCCGGCCGTAGGTGACCACAATGCTGCACCATGGGAAGCACTGGAGGTCCATGTGCAAGGGGCTCATCCTGGGAACCCTTCTGACCAGCTTCATGCTCCTGCTCTACTCCTACGCCGTCCCCCCCCTGCAAGTCAGCGTGACACAGTGAGTGTGGGGTCCCCGTGTGTGTCCCCCAGCAGCTCAGCCACCCTGTTTCACACGGGGCACCCCCAACTGGAGACAGTCCCAGGGCTTTCCAGGCTCTGGTGGCTTCACACCGAGATGTCCCCTTCCTACAACCTCCTGTTGGAGACTGCGCCTTGTCCCTTGGGTGGGGGAGAAGGCAAACCCCAACTCCCAGTTGGGGGCGTCCCCCCCAACTGGGGACTCCCACCCCGGGGTCAGGGGGGGACACTGCAAAATGGCAGCCAGCGCTCAGCTCCTGGGCAATGGAGGGGACAAGGAGGTGCAGGAGACCCCCTGCCCACTGTGGCTTCATGTCCCCTGGGAGAAAGAAAAGCACCACGGGAGACATTCCCCGGCAGCCAGGAGCAGCAGGCAGAGCCGAGACGGTTATTCGGGCGCTCTTTATCAAGGACTTGTCCTTCAAGAGCAACCTGAGCACTGCCATGTGTAAACTCTCACCCACAGAGATGGGCACAGGTAGGTTCAAAGCTCTCTGCTGCCTGTCACGGCAAAAGCCAGTGCTCAGTAAGGCCATCCCTCCTGGCATCAAATTTATCTCTAGGCTTATAAAAGAGAGCCGCCTGCGGGTGTTTCATAAGCTATGTGCCAACCCGTGCTCCCCCGCGCTGCCTGATGGGAGCATTATGAAGGATCAGCTTCGCAACTTCATTAATGGTGTCCAAAGTCACTCTATACTGTGGTCTCTGTTCCCTGCTCCGGGCAGCTCAGATAACACACAAGTTGTTCTCGGTGCTCCCCGAGGGCCCGCGAGCTCGTCTGTGGGGTCATGCACTAGAATTATTTCCCTCTTTGCTCGGGTGCTGGGATCCTCCGTGACTCCTACAAGGAGTTGAGAGCTTCCAGACCTCACAAGAACGTTATCAGGTCCTGTCCATGGAGTTACAGCCATGGAGAGCTTGTCTCGATGCACGTCTCAACATCACCTGCACCAGGTCCACCACGGCTGTCCCCGTGGGGAGGGATGGGGACCCCCTGCTCAGGCTGCACTGGTGGGGGCTGACCACTGTGAAGACCCCCGTAGCGGTGCATCCTTGGTGGCTGGGGTTGTCCAGGGGGTGAATGAGTTTGGTTTGGTGGCTCGGAGGTGCACCTGATATCAGGGGGCTCGTGAGGGCGGTGGGCTCTACCCTGCTCACCGAGGGGCTCCTGCCAGGTGGGTGCCCCGGTCCCGCTGGGCACGTGGCTGGGGGTGAAAGGGGCTCTGCCCGAAGTCAGGCTTATCTCCACTGGGGAGCCTGGGGGGTGCTGGGGGTGAGCAGGTCCAGCACTCATCCCCGGGGTGAGCACCCACCCCCAGGTCCAGCACCCATTGCCAGGTCCAGCTCCTCCAGGAAGGAAAATGGCCGAGCCTTCATGATGGCTGGGCCGCGTTGGCCAAGCTGCCCTCACCATGGTGTCCTGTCTCTTCTCCTCACCAGGATCCCCATCCCCTCCTCCTGCTCCTCCTACCCGGCCCTCGGCAAGGCGCCAGCAGTGGCCAACGACACGGGCAGCCCCTCGGGACAGAGCTGCCTGCCCAAGCTGAACATCATGTTCATGAAGACGCACAAGACAGCCAGCAGCACCATCCTCAACATCCTCTTCCGCTTCGGGGAGAAGCATCGCTTGAAATTCGCCTTCCCCAACGGCCGCAACGACTTCTACTACCCCTCCTACTTCGAGCGCAGCCAGGTGCAGCACTACCGGCCGGGCGCGTGCTTCAACATCATCTGCAACCACATGCGCTTCCACTACGAGGAGGTGCGCAAGCTCCTGCCGGCGGACGCCACCTTCGTGACGGTGCTGCGGGACCCTGCCTGGCTCTTCGAGTCCTCTTTCCACTACTTTGGGCGCGTCATCCCCCTCACCTGGAAGCTGATGGGGGAGGACAAGCTGGCAGAGTTCCTCCGGGACCCCTGGCACTACTACGACCCCAACGGGTTCAACGCTCACTACCTCCAAAACCTCCTCTTCTTTGACTTGGGCTACGACAACAACATGAATGCCAACAGCCCGCTGGTGGAGGAGCGCATCCAGGAGATAGATCGCCGTTTCCACCTCGTCATGTTGCTCGAGTACTTCGACGAGTCCCTGGTGCTGCTGAAGGACCTGCTGTGCTGGCAGCTGGAGGATGTCCTCTACTTCAAGCTCAACGCCCGGAAGGGCTCCACCGTCTCCCGGCTGACACCTGAGCTCTATGAGAAGGCCACCTCCTGGAACCTCATCGACGCCAAGCTCTACCGCTATTTTAATGCCACCTTCTGGCGTAAAGTGGAGGCCTACGGGAGGGAGCGGATGGCCAAGGACGTGGCCGAGCTGCAGCGGGAGAATGAGAAGATGAAAAGCATCTGCATCGACGGGGGACACCCTGTGGACGCCAGCGCCATCCAAGAGTCCTCCATGCAACCCTGGCAGCCACTGGGGGAGAAGTCCATCCTGGGCTACAACTTGAAGAAAAAGATCAACAAGAAGCACCAGAAGCTGTGCCGCAAGATGCTGACGCCCGAAATCCAGTACCTGACCGACCTGGGGGTCAACCTCTGGATCACCAAGCTGTGGAGCCATGTGCGGGACTTCTTGAAGTGGTAGGGGACGGCGGGCACCCCGCTCCCCCTGGGGAAGAACCAGGTGCTTTCCTTTTTCTTACTCGTGGTGTCTTTTGGTTGGACGTGAGCAGAA